AAGGAGGTAGGGGAAGGAGCAAAGGATTTGAAGGCCAAAGATGCCTTTGTTGATTCTCTGTTTTCATTGAAAGTGAAAGTCACTCAGTCGAGTCTGCCTCTTTGCAACCCCGTGGACTATACAGTCCATGGAATTCTCCAGGCCAGAATACTGAAGTGGGTGGCCTTTCCCTTCTCCAGGGGATCATCCCAATCAAGGGATCGAACCCAGGTCTCCCGCATTGCAGGCAGATTCTTTACCAACTGAGCTATCGGGGAAGCCCTGATAGCTGTTTCTATTACTTCAGGCAAATCACCAGTTTGAACTTTTGTTACCGAGGAAGTGATCATACTGCTTTCTTTCTAGGTTTTTGGGAGTAGTTTGAATGATGTACTAGACATGGGCATGTTTTCCCAACCGGGATGAGTTCTACGCAGGAGAAGTGTTGTCATTAGTAGAAAGAAGCATCTTGACCTGGGACCTGAGACAGCTAAGACCCTAAGCAGTGCCCTCAACATCTTATCCGCATGATCTGGGGCTTGTCGCGGTTCCTTGTCAGTCACAAAAGTGTCAATTCTGCTTCCCAGGGCCCTTGTGAGGATCCAAAGAGCTAATACACGTGACTCTGGTGTATTGTAATGGGGTGATTATTCAGGTCTGTGAACTGGAGCCCTGATCTTATTAGAGAAGGTGGGATGAGCGTGTCAGGTCTGTCTCTGCTTCTGCTCCCTGCTCTCCTCCTCTGAGCTCGTCACCGCATCTCTGACTCAGGGCATATGCACAGGCGTGTGTGTACTGTCAGTGCACAAGGCAAGAGCCCCTCTGACTCCAGGCACCTGCAGAGGGCCCCTGGCCTTGCTGAGCAATGACCCAGATGTGCTGGAGTTTTGGCAGTCTGCTTCGAGGACAGGATCAGCGGAAGCTGCTCTGCCAGCATTGCACGTTTAGGGGAGATACCTCCAGGTGTACAAATAGACATGTACATTTCTGGTACATCCACCCCCAAACTGAACATTGATGATGTTTGTCATCCTTTAATGAACAAGATCAGGTTTTTCTGCTGGTCAGACCATAAAAGCAGTTGGTGCTCCTACCTCTGTGCTGAAAATAAAGCACTGGTAAGCCTGATTTGTTGTTGCTTAGTTGCTAAATTGTGTCCAGCTCTTCTGCGACCTCATGGACTGTAGCCCGCCAAGCTCCTCTGTCCCTGGGATTTCCCAGGCAAGAATACTGGAGTGGGTTGCCATTTCCTTCTTCAGGGCATCTTCCCGACCCAGAGATCAAACCTGCATCTCCTGCATTGGCAGGCAGATGGATTCTTTACTGCTGGGCCACCAGGGAAGCCTGAGAAGCATGATTAGTAAAACCTTAATGACCAGGACCCTCCTTTCACTGGAATTACTTTGTTTGTAGCGGGGTGGAAGATTGTGGTGGCCTGGGACATTTTTGTGTTTTACTCATTTTATCCCACTTTTTCTCATTCTGAGGAAGGAGACAGGTCTTTTAGGGTCTCTTGACTGCAAGTTCTTGGAGCAGAAGAGAGAGGTGAGGATCTGTGGGGGATGTGAGTGTCAGAGGGAGGGGGACCCACCCTGAGACTGGGGAGCTGGTGGAGATTGCTGGGTCTGCTGCATTGTGGTGCCTTTGCTCCTGCTCTGTCAACATTCCAGATTAGCATTGAGACCTTGGACAGAAATAGTTGTGTGGAGTTCCCAGCAGGGCTAAAGTCCAGGAAACAGGGCTCCTGGCCCCAGTAGCAATTGGTTCCCTCTGCCCCAGCACAGCAGAGCAAGTACCAGGCCCTAGGACTTTCAGAGGACGTGTTCACTCTTTGTATGATGCTAGTAGATCAGAAGCCCCAAATAGGTACTGAGATTAACATTTTGGAATTATTGCTCAGAATTGGTATGAAGGAAGATAAACACAAGTCATGTTTTCCTGGGAAGCTGAATCTGTTTGTGAACTTACCCTTGGCTGTGTGACTGGCAGCATTTATTTTAGAAATGTAATTTCCAGGAGTGGCTATGAGGTCAAGTGATATCCAGCCCAGTTTCCAGCATCTACATCTTAGGACCATAGGAGCTTGGAGAGCTGGAGGTGGAGCAGGACAGAAAGCTGACAGCCAGGCTAGGGTGGCGAGATGTGGAGAGTGGGCCACGGCTGGAAGTGTCCTTCATCTTTCTTCCCACAGGGAACCCCTGAAGTCCCTAGAGGTCATGACAATGGGCACACCAGGTAACCAGGCACTAGGCTAAGCATGTTACGAACACAGACTCATTTAATCCTCATAACAGCCTTGGGAGGTGGACACTGCTCTTAATCTGCTATTGGGGCATCTGAGATGGCTCAGTGGTAAGATTTCGCCTGCCACGCAAGAGCCGCAGGAGACGTGGGTTTGATCTCTGGGTTGGGAAGATACCCTGGAGGAAGAAATGGCAACCTGCTCCAGTATTCTTGCCTGGAAAATCTCATGGACAGAGAATCATGGCGTGCTACGATCCAGGGGGTCACAAAGAGTCGGACACAACTGAGCATGCATGCACACATGTGTGCTTACAAGTTAAAGAAATTGGGGTCGAGAGATGCTCATGATCACACAGCTAGTAAGGGGCAAAGCCAGGAGTGAACCAAACTATCTGGCTTCAGAGCTAATGGTCTTAGCAGCCGCACTCTTCTGCCAGTCAACCCTGACTCAGTACTGACTAGATGGGATGCTGTTACTGGACAGTGCCCAACATGCTTGTCCAAGCAAGACTCTGCGTTCATCAAGGGAATGTCAAATGTGCATATTCTTGGTGGTTATTAACAGTATATTTTAACTTTTATATTTTTATTTTTCTAGGACAAAAGTTTACAATCACTGATACAAAGAGGAATTTCTGGGCGACTCTTATTTGTTTCATTTCAGCAATACCAAACAATTCTCTTATGAACACAATTTACATTAATCTGGGTTTTACTTCAGTGAATAACTTTCAGCAACTGAGGAAATCTTGAAGTGGATGAGGCCAGTTTTTTCCTGTGTGGCTCTGTAACCAACCAAATCTGGCCTGGCATGTGGGGCTTTTCTTTGGAAATAAGAGGAATGCCTTCAGACTCTCAGGATGAAATCACAGAAACAGTGCATTTGCCTTCTGGCAAGGATGTTGAAATTTGGCAGAGTGTGTGGGGTAAACACAGAGTGGACAGTTTCATCTGGATCATTCTATGTAAATGAAATTTGACCAGGGATTTGGAAAGCCTTGTTACAACCTTGGGGAATTCCTGGGTGGATGTAAATAGAGCTTAGTCTTTCTTTTTAAGTAAATACCCAAAGTTCATAGCAGGTGAGGGTTTGGAGGTTACAGCAACAATAGTATTTTTAAAAAAGAACTTTCCGTTTGGGTACTTTCCACACAACACTACTTTCTGGATGTGAAGATGATGTTTCTCGTGGTTCTCTCAACCCATGGTTATATGGCAGAGGGGTCATATAAATATAGATACATTTACACTCTATGTGGGATTTAATGGCTTCCCTTGTGGCTTAGCTGGTAAAGAATCTGCCTGCAATGCAGGAGACCTGGGTTCAATCCCTGGGTTGGAAAGATCCCCTGGAGAAGGGAAAGGCTACCCATTCCAGCATTCTGGCCTGGAGAATTCCATGGACTGTACAGTCCATGGAGTCGCAAAGAGTCGGACACGACTGAGCGACTTTCACTTAAGAGAGAATAACAGCTGAGTGACCAGACACTTCCTTGGTTAGATGTCTTGAGAGCCCCCATCCCTCCCTCCCTGCCTCCCCTAGGGGAGCTGCTATAGGGCTAGCCCCTTCAGTAACACTGCACTGTGCTTCGAGGCTCAGGCCTGTCTGACTCTTGCTATCCTCCGACTGTCACCCACGAGGGTCCTCTGTCCATGGGATTTTTAAGGCAAGAGTACTGGAGTGGGTTGCCATTTCCTTCTTCAGGGGATCTTCCCAACCTGGCCATTGAATCCACCTCTCCAGCATCTCCTACAATGAAGGCAAATTCTATATCTGCTGAGCCATCAAGGAAGCCAATAATACTAGGTCTCAGCAAAGACACCCTGAATGAAAGTCATCTAACAATCCTCTTCTCCTTAGCACCTTGTGACTACTTTTCATTTTTGATCTAGCTTTCTCTTCGAACCTGGGTTTCTGAAATTTTTTTGTTTTTGAACCCTCTCTCGGTCTGTCCATCCATCTATTCATGATGCATCCACCTGGTCATTCTTCGTCATTCAGGTCTTACCCGCTACCTGTCTGCCCTGTGATGGGCTTCGCTCAGCGCCCAGATGACGACGGTGCTTTCCTCGGAAGGCCCGGGGACTCCCTGTGGCCTCTTTCTTCACCACGCTTGCAGGGAGTGCAGGGCGCTGGGAGGCCGCCCGCACGGGCCCCGCATGGGTAGCGTGAGTGCACTGTAAGCTGGGTGACCGGTCTGCAGTTTCGGTCCGGCACCACCAGCAGGGTTCTGAACACACGGGTCTGGTGAGAGAGGAGGGGAGGTTCCCAGGGAGGGAAACCGGAGTCCTACCGGGCTCCTCTTCTTCCAGTGGGGTGGGGACCCTCATGTCACCGGCCTCCTCCCCTCGTGCCTTGCTGTGATGGCCAGACCACAAGGCTTTTGGTTCTTTGTGTGTTCAAAGCAAAAAACTTTGAGAGTCCTGATGAAACCTTTTTTTTTTTTTTAAAGCAGTCATACAAATTTCATTGCCTTCAGAGTGAAATATGGTTTGAAATTCACAGCAGAAGCAATGGTTTCTTTTCTCCAGTTGGCGCCTCCACTTCCTGGGCTGTCTGTCTCAATAGCATGATCCAGTTTCAACAGCAGATGAGCTGTGGTGTTGGTGGCCACCAACAGTCACTGGGAAAACACAGCAGGTGATAGCTGAAAGTATCCTTGGACGCATGGGTCAAGGGTGTAAGCCCCAACCTCAAGTGGCCCCCACCTTCCACTGACATTGCCCTGAATGGTGCTCTTGCATGTGACATAGAGAAAACACCTTCTTTCTTACAGTGGCTTCTGATCGGTGTGGCCTTCTTAAAGCTCAAAGCCGAACTAAAGCTCCTCGGCTGGGAACCCCTCCTGTATGTGTGGATGGCTTCTGCGCTGGACTCAGCGGTCCCACCGTGGTGTCTCTGTACCACTGCCCTCGGGCCGTCTGGCCTCATGTCCAGAAGCAGCAGCCCCGACGTGTTGCCATTGGTTACATCAGCAAACCGTGGAAGCTTCTCCAGCCGGCGACTCTCAACTTACACTCCTTGGATTTGGACTGGCATCAAATGCCAGCGTCCTCTCAAAATGTAAGCAGCTGGAAGACGGGCTTTCTGGGAGCCTGATGACAAGTCTGCCTCAGGGAAATCTCTTGGCCATGCCTTGTGGCTGAGACCTGCTTGAATTAAGCTTTATCTGGCATTGTGGCTCCTCCCAGGCATTTTAGGGAGAGGATCCAACTGTGACCTTGTGGGCAGCTCTTCCTAAGTCTCTCATCTTTATGGCTCGAGGATTCAAACATTCTGTGCTCTGTCATGCCTCCGTGTCTTTGTGTATTTTATCCCTTGGTTTCTACCAAATGTTCTATTTTCTACTCATAATCCTTGACTCGATACAACATTTACTGAACTGGGTGAGCACGTCTCCGGGTGCCAAACTGGTCTAAGTCCCATTTGTTCCATAGGTCTTGGCCTGGCATACAGTTCCATCTCTTGGCGGATACCCGGATTATTCCCTCTCCCTTTAACATACCTTTCTCCCTTTCCTCCCAGCCTTGAATTAGGGGCTCCTCCTCTGCTCCATTAGAACCTGTGTCATTTCTCTATCACACCATTTTTCAGATACTAACATTGCTTTCTCAATACTGATTTTGATCCCTGAAAGGGCAGAGATGATGTCTGTTCATCTCTGCATTTAGCACCCAGCACATTGTCTGCAATGGAAGGCTCTCAATAGAATATCTTAAATGAATGGATAAATAAATGATTGGTTTTAATGTATTTTCAAAATCACATCCTGGTGAAGGATTGACTAAGCAGATATTCCTGGGACTAGGAAAACAAACCAGAGCCATCTAGTGTGATTTTAATTTTAACCTGACCTTGAGGCTTTAGGCTGAGTAAACAGGAGATGAAAGACAAAATATTGGATTTAAGAACTGGTCATTTTCTCCACGTTTAAAGTTTTAAAAAACCCCATGCAATTTTGCCCAAAGAGAGAAAAAAAAAAATAGAAATGCTGCCATGAGAGAGCTGTGAATTTTATCTTGTCTCCGGGGAAGCAAAGTGAATAATTTTAGAGAGAGAAGGAGAGCAATTGAGACACAGTCTCACTGAGTGAATTCACTGTTCCAACCGAAAGTCACTAAAAAAAATTTCCGCCCCAAACAGAAGGGTAGGTATCAAAATGAAAATAAAAGGAAATAAGGCAGCTTCCCTGTTCATGATGTTCTCTGGGAGGCTGGGGGGGAGGTGGTGAAACAGTGGATATTTTATTGTTCCACTCTGTTGAGACACAGCAGGGCAGCCTTTCTGACGTTTACAGCATGGAAGAAATATCAAGTCAGAACCCTAAGTATAAGCCGTCGCCAAGGCCAACTGCGAAACAAGATCAACCCCAGGAGGTGTGTGAAGGAACACGGTGTCAGGATTTCCCCGAAAAGGTCTGCACAGGGAGCAGAGTTTCTCTGAAGGATTGCCCCTCGGCTCTCCTTTGTTCTCCTGCCGGGAGAACCTCATTTCATCTTCATCAGGAACAAATTTCAGGTCTGTTTCTGGCCTGGTTGTTGCCTCCTGACTCTGGCTTTCTGTGAGTCAGCCTGTTGTCATGGAGACCACCATTTAGACAATTCATCTGAACAGGGCGTTGTTATGTGGACGAAAAGGACCCACAGCACTATGCACTTTGGTGCCGGAAGGGTCCCAGTCAGGCTCCCGTATCACTGCTGGGGTAGCAGTCACACTGGGTTGTCACAAGGCTTCGCAGAGCCTCCTGGGGTCACCCCTTTATTTCTCCATCTTCTCAGAATATATTTGTTTATTGCTCCTTACATGCCCTTGGTGTGTGACTTCAGCAGAGATGCTTCTGACTGCTCTGATATCAGGAACCTCTCATGTTCTGGACTCCCACGTTTATTCATCACACTCCCAATGGGACCAATATTCTTTGGTTTCAAATGATTCCAGGCTATGGGTATTTCCCAAATTGAGAACACCGGCACAGACTTGAAGCTTCTGCTTCTTCCAGTGTCCTATTAGACATTACTCTCTGTGTTAAATGTGATCCTTTGCCCCAGAACCCTGTGTGTTGCCTCATTTCACATGGTTTCCAGGAAGAGGCCCTCAGAATGGCTTCACATCTCTTACACAGAATAAAATGCACAGGCCCTGGGGGACTAGCTGTTTGACTCCCATAGCTTTTAGACGTGTCCTTAGCTCTAGTCTTGCACCTGGGAACTCCCCTGCCCATCATGACTTGAAAACAAAGCATTGGTCGCTCAGTCTTGTCCAGCTCTTTGTGACCCCGTAGACTGTAGCCTACCAGGCTCCTCTGTCCATGGAATTCTCCAGGCAAGAATACTGGAGTGGGTAGCCATTTCTTCTCCAGGGAATCATCCTGACACAGGGATTGAGCCATGGTCTCCTGCACTGCAGGCAAATTCTTTACTATCTGAGCCACCCTCCGTGACATGAGGTATTTACCATTAAGGCTCTGGGCATTACTGCAGATGGACCTGCTCAGAGGGCCCATGGCCCTCAGAGATTTCACAACTGTTGCCTCAGACAGTGAGTAAGAAGTAGCTCATCATCTGTATTCTAAATATGAAATGCTTGTGATGGCTACCCATAGCTTGGGGTCATTTAACACCAAACAAAATTGTTGATACTGGAGGAAAAGAATATTGCCTATCTCAGGAGCCACCAAAGGTCTTGTTCTATTGGTATTCAGAATGATATCAATACAACATCAAGAAAGGCTAAATTTGTAAGTGTATACACACACAGGTAGGGCCTACCTGGTGGCTCAAATGGTAAAGAATCTGCCTGCAATGTGGGAGACCCAGGTTCGATCCCTGGATAGGGAAGATCCCATGGATTAGGAAATGGCAACCCACTCCAGTATCCTTGCCTGGAAAATTCCATGGACAGAGGAGCCTGGCAGGCTCCATGGAACCTCAAAGAGCTGGACACCACTGAATGACTATCACTTCACTTCCCATATTCACATGTACACACACATGTTTTTTAAGGAGGTGAACTATGTAGTGCATTTCAGGAAGATTTCCCACCAAATCGATACAGTAAGAAAGGGAAAAACATTAGTTTTATGGAAAATTAAGGTGTGTGAACTATTACTATGTGTATTCTGTGTGAGAAGAACTACTTTCTGTTACAAGACCAGTAGAATTAAGAGTTCTTATATATGGATGTCATAGAAACACTGCTAATGTGGCAGGGATATTTGTGATCCTCTATTATGGTGGCTTTAAAATAACAATCAGCCTTGGGATCCTTTCTGCAGTGGAATCTTATGCAGGAGCCTCACCTGTATATGGACACACCTCTCTCTACTAGCCTATGGGGAAGGAACTGAGTTGTAAGAACTGCTGGTTTCAGGTTCGGGTGGTGATTCAGTCAACTCAGCTGCCAAAACAAAACACTACAGCTCAGTTCAGTCACCTGGTCGTGTCCAACTCTTTGCAACCCCATGGACTGCAGCACGCCAGGCTTCCCTGTCCATCACCAACTCCCAGAGCTTGCTCAAACTCATGTCCATCAAGTTGGTGATGCCATCTAACCATCTCATCCTCTGTCGTCCCCTTCTCCTCCTGTCTTCAATATTTCCCACCATCAGGGTCTTTTCCAATGAGTTAGTTCTTCACATCAGGTGGCCAAAGGATTGGAGCTTCAGCTTCAGCATCAGTTCTTCCAATGAATATTCGGGACTGATTTCCTTTAGGAAGGACTGGTTTGATCTCCTTGCAGTCCAAGAGACTCTCAAGAGTCTTCTCCAACACCACAGTTCAAAAACAGGGGCTTAAACAACAGAAATTAACCTTCTCTCAGTGCTGGAGACTTGAAGTCCAAGATCAAGGTGCCAGCATGGTTGGTTTCTGGTGAGAACTCTCTTACTGGCTTGTGGATGGCTATCTCCTGTCTATGTTCTCACATGGAATGACTTCCCTGATGGCTCAGTGGTAAAGAATACTCCTGCCAATGCAGGAGACTCAGGAGACACAGGTTTGATCCCTGGGTCGGGAAGATCCACAGAGAAGGAAATGGCAACCCACTCCAGTATTGTTGCAGGGATAATCCTATGGACAGAGGAGCCTGATGGGGTACAGCTGTAGGGTTGCACAAAGTCTAACACAACTGAGCACATTGGCCATCCACGTGGAATGAAGAGAGGCAGAGAGATCTCTGGTGTCTCCTCATATAAGGGCACTAATCTTATCATGAGTGCCCAACATTTGTGACCTCATCTAACCCTGATTATTTCCCAAAGATCTTATGTCCAAATACCTTTGCATTTGCAGTTTAGGGCTTCTGTGGATGTTAGAGTTGGACCACAAAGAAGGCTGAGAGCTGAAAAATTGATGCAGTCAAACTGCAGTGCTGGAGAAGACTCTTGAGAGTCCCTTGGACTGCAAGAAGATCAAATCAGTCAATCGTAAAGGAAATCAACCCTGAATATTCATTGGAAGGACTGACGCTAAAGCTGAAGCTCCAATACTTTGGCCACCTGATGATGCAAAGAGCTGACATTGGAAAAGACCCTGATGCTGGGAAAGATTGAAGGCAAAAGAAGAAGGAGATGGCAGAGGATGAGATTGTTAGATAGCATCACTGACTCAATGGACAAGAATTTGAGCAAACTCTGGGAGATAGTGAAGGACAATAAAGCCTGGCGTGTTACTGTCCATGGGGTCACAAAGAGTTGGACACGACTGAACAGCAACAGCAATGTGGATTTTGGTGGGGCATAAATGTGGCTCTCGGGAAGTCATGTGATGGGGGATTTGCTCTTAGGTGATGTTGTTCATCCAGGCCTTCTCATCTTCTACTGCACAGCCTGGACTTGCAAAGCAACTGCCCTGGCTCTAGACTTCCTCAGTCCCTCTGCCCTTTTAAGGGCTATGTGGGTTTAAGGAAGGATTTCTGGAGGCTGCCTTTTCCAAGTCTCAATAGGTGCAAAGTTAATGATTATATTAGAAACAGCTATCATATGCAGAGCCTTGACTAACTCTCCTAAGAAATTCATAGAAAGTATCTCATTGAAGCCTCACAGCAACCTAGGATAAGGCATTCTTCTCTCCTCTTCATTTCACAGCCAGAGTACAGAGACA